TCCTCCACCTTTCATTCTGCATGAATCCCAAGGCCTTACACATGTTAGGCAAGTGCACTACCCTGAGCTACACTCACTCTCTGAGCTACACTCACTCTCAACTCCTTTCCTCAACACTCACTTGGCTGTTTTGCTCACTTCTTTGCAGCTTTTCTTATTGGGAACTCATATTCACAGCTAAAAGGTTTCCCTGGTTATGGTGAGCCCTCCAGGGCTAGGTCTTGTTGTCCAACTTCCAGAGAGAGAACAAGGGTTCTTGAAAGTACAGGTGCTGTTCAGCCAGGATTGTTGGGGGTTGGTTGATTGGTTGATTGATTGTTCATTTGTAATAGATTTACTTGAGATTGAACTGGGGATTTCCCACTAAGCTACACCAACAAGCACTTTTCATTTTTATTTTGAGACAAGGTCTCACTAAGTTGCAAAGTTGCCCATGCTGGGCTCAAATTTGCAATCTTCCTGCATCAGCCTCCCAGACTGCTGGGATTATAGGTCTGTAACTCCATACTTGGCTACATTTGCTTGTCAAATGGATCCTCTGCAGGCACCCAGTATGCTGTCAGGCCCCTGTGGCCCTTCTCTTGCCTTTAGGCTTTCCTGGACATAATCAAAATGCAACACACAAGTTCAGGGATGACAACTCACTCCCTCTCCATGGTTCTCTAAAGTGGCCCTGAAGGCAAGAGCACTCGACACAGCACACCCATGCATAGAGTAGGACTTGCGATGTACCTGGGAGCTTGGATATCCTTGAGCTGCATGAGGAGGGGGCCCTGGGAAATAGGAAAAGAAGGAGAGGATGCAGGAAAGGCAAGGTTTCCATCTTTCCCCAGCACTTCTTGCCTCATCCTCCAACTTGCCAGTGGTTGCCACTGAGTCCTAAAGCACCTCCACCAGGCAAAGTCACCAAGGCCCCTCCTTGAGCCCACGGGGGTGCATGTGATCAGGACAGGGGGGCCTGGAATGTGGGAGAGGTCAGCGTGGGTCGGGGGCACTGTGGTAGACTGAACAGTGCTCCCAAATGATACCCATGTCTTAATTCTGAAATCTGTTTTTGGTGGTCTTTTTCTTTGTTTTGTTTTTTCTTTTGTTTTGGGGTATTATTTTTGTCCTCATAGATAAACCCAGGGCCTCATACCTACTGCACAAGGTCTTGGATACTGAGCTCCATCCCTAGCTCTGTAACCTATAAAATGATTCTACTGGAAAAAAGAAACAAAAATCTTTGCAATTGTGATTAATTTTAGGATCTGTTCTTTACTGAGCTTCTTTAAATTCCATGGTTCACATCTTACTGCTTGAATTTTTTTTGGTACAAGAAATAGAACTCAGGTCCTTGGGCTTGTGAGGCAGGCGCTGGAACCACTGAGCTAAATCCCTGGCCCTAGCTACCTCTTTGACAAAGAAGCCAACCATACTCACTGGAGGAAGATAGCCTCTTTAATAAATGGTGTTGGAAAAACTGGATTTCAACCTGCCAAAGATTAAAATTGGACCCTTATCTTTCACCATGCATTAAACTAAAATCCAAGTGGATTAAAGATCTAAATATTAAAAAAGAGACACTAAATCTGCTGGAAGATAAGTTAGGCAGAACCCTTGGAGTCACTGGCATAGGAAAAGACTTCATGAACAAATCCTCAGTAGCATGGGAACTAGCACAAAGAATAAACCACTGGGGTATCATCTTATTAAAAAGCTTCTGCACTACAAAAGAAACCACCAACAGAGCTAAGAGACAACCTTCAATGTGGGAAAAAATTTTACCAGCTGCTCCTCAGACAAAGGACTATTATCTAGAATATATAAAGAACTCAAAACAATAAGCCCCCCAAATAGAAAGACCCAATTCAAAAATGGGCATCTGAAATGAACAGATATTTCTCAGACAAAGAAGTAAAAACAGCAAGTAAGTACATGAAAAAATGCTCCACATCACTGGTCATTCAAGAGATGCAGATGAAAACAACACTGAGATTCCACCTTACCCCACAAAGAATGGCTGCTATCAAGAAATCAACCAATAACAAATGTTGGCAGGGTTTTGGGGAGAAAGGAACCCTTCTCCATTGTTGGTGGGAGTGCAGACTGGTGCAACCACTGTGGAAATCAATATGGAGATACCTCAAAGAACTAGGACTAGAGTTCCCATTTGACCCAGCCATCCCTCTGCTGGGTATCTTTCCAAAAGAATTAAAAGAATCATACCACAGTGATGTATGTATACCATGTTTATAGTGGCACAGTTTGCAATAGCTAAAACTTGGAAACAGCCCAATTTCCCATCAGTTGGAGAGTGGGATAAAGAAGATGTGTTTTTTTTTCTATAAAATGGAATACTACTCAGTCATAAAGAATGAGAAATTAGGGTCATTCATAGAAAAATGGATGCATATTGAGGCTATACTCAAGTGAAATAAATAAATCACATATGTGTAAATACTGAATAGTTTCTCTGGTGTGAAAAAGTAAAAGTGTAAATAAGATCCAAATTGTATAAGTGATAATGTGAAATAGGAAGGAAAGGGCTAAAGGTGTAGGGGAAGTGGGAAGGGTAGGGGAAAGGAAATAAGGGAAAAGAAAAAATATGAGAAAAGGAAAAAATGGAAACAAAGTCTTTGTAAATAGGGGGAGGAGAGGGTGAAGGGAGGTCAGGGGTATGGGGGAAAAATGAGAACAAAGACCTGTCATGTAAAGGTACAAGATCCCAATGATGAATGTAACTGTACTGTACCAATAAACTCAATGAAAAAAAAAATAAAGACAACAGGTCAATTATTTCAAAGAAAAAAAAATAAATGTTTTCCTACTTCCATACAGCTTACTTAATATAGCACTGTGTTCCATTGTTATAATGTACACTTATTCCAAATCCTGCTTTTGTCATGAAATACTAACAAATTTAGATGCATGCTAAAGTTTCCCATCTAAGGATGAAGCCCAGAGTATTACAATGATTATTTAATGCTATTGATCATTCAGACAGATAAATCAGCACCAGATACTTAATCTAGCACAATCTGTGAGACAGAGTAAGGCCCTCTGAAAAGGCTAAGAAGGTGTACATTACATGCACATTTAAAATTCTTTCTGTCTTGACACTATAGTAGTCTAAAATATATACTATGATAGAGAAGAAGTTTTTACTCTACTTCAATACTTTCAATTCTGAGGCTTAAAATATTCACTCATATTTCTAATTTTTGAAATAAATTGATTATCCTTTAAAGAACATATTTAAATATTAACTTAATTCAAATAAAAAAGTAATTTTCAAGCTCATTTCACATAGCATGCAAATCACATGAATGGCACAACCAGAAGTCTAAGTATTTTCCCAGAAACATTTAAACCTGGACATTTCTTCTATCTGCTAAGGGAGAGTGAGTGCTCCTTTTGTATTTTCATTTCAAGAGAGTCTTGCTAAGTTATCCAGGCACTGATCTCACTTGCAATCCTCCTGCCTGAGCTTCTCAGAGGGCGGGGATTAGAGACATGTCACTTGTGGTGGGTGATATTAATTGTCAACCACATAGAGAGTAGTGGAGATGAAGACACTAGGGCTTGGAGAGGAGAGGGGGCACTGGGAGGGTGGCAGGCTGTGGTGGCCACAGGTTGGCTCAGATTCACTTCCTGCCTTCTCATCCTCCAGCACAGTTGGGGTGGGGGTGCACTGAGGGTTCTCTTGTGTGGGGGCTGAGGCTACACACTACTCAAAAGCACAAGAACCCCTTTAAAGTCCCATCCCATAGAGCCCACCACCAAAAGCCCAGACTAGGCACAAGCAGCAGATGTAGAACCAGTAGGCTACACACTACTCAAAAGCACAAGAACCCCTTTAAAGTCCCATCCCATAGAGCCCACCACCAAAAGCCCAGACTAGGTCCAAGCAGCAGATGGGTAGAACCATTGCAGGCCCTTTTAGTCCCATAGAAAGCCAGCGAATCCTCAGTCCAGCCCCAGGTTTGACATACCGGAAGTGGCTGCACTCATGAGTGAGCCATCTCAGGGGGACTCTGCACAGCACCCGGGACACAGCACTGCCTCCCCAGGGTGCTGGCTGGGCCCCCAGTGTGGAAACAGCCTACCCTTCTGATAATTCTGGACTTAGTCATGTCAGGGACATTTCTGAGACCCTAGGCTGAGCCACTGAGCTCCATGGCCCAAGGATGTGGCCAGAGGCCAACGGTTGACCTGAATGACATTTCAAGGACAAGGTCAAACCTTCATACCCAGTGATCCAAAACAACTGGTGTACATAGCAGCAGAGTGCATCTCGCTTGTCCCTGAGCAGGTGCCTGCCCCACTTGGTCCCTCAGTCCAGGTTGTAGTATGAGTTCATTTGCAGCCTCAGGCCTTGGCTGTGTTAAGCAACCACATGTGTGGCTCATGCACCTGGGCTCCGAGACTCTACCTGCTGGGCTCAGAGGAGAGGCAAAGTCCCTGAGGCTGCAATCGAGCTCATACTACAGCCCTTCTGTCCTGTATACTCCTGCACACTGGCTGGAAATGCACAAGAGAAGAGGCGCTCAAGGCATCCTAGGTTCAAGGGCAAATCCTGGGGCTCTTGTGAGAGCCAGCAGCTGGGCTCAGAGCAGGTACTGTGATTGTCCCTGTCCAGAATGTCCACTGTCAGACTGCTCTGACCTTTACAAGAACAAGGAAGTCATACAGGGGTCCATTAGAATAACAGGTCATTCTCCATTATTTCTCCTCCTCCTCCTTAACATCATCATCATCATCACCATCATCATCATCACCATCATCATCATCATCATCATCATCATTTCCCCTTTCCCTCCACTTCCCCTACCCTTCCCCTTCTATTATCACTTTGGATTTTTCAGGCAGATTCTCAGTCTGTCACTGAGGACCGTATTGAACTCACTATGTAGTCCAGGCTGAACTCAAATGTACAGCAATCCTTCCTGGATAAGATGCCTAAGTGCTGACATCACAGGCTTGTACCACCACTCCTGGCCCATTTTTGTTTTTTGCAGGTGTGGCAAAGGGACCTCGCCTCAGAATCTCAACCTGGGTTCACAGAGGCAGAGGTGGCAGTTTCTCCAGATCCAAGCTGCTGACCAAAAACACAATCAGATGCAGGGATGAGGCACAGCAAGCTGTCAGAATGAGCCCTGTCCCTGTCACACTGGAGCTCTGGGAGTGTTCCACTTGACATGTCATCTATCTCCTTCTCCTGTCGCTACCTTGCATAATCCTGATGGGGCTGTGTGTGTGCAGATATCGTGCCACATGCTACAGAAGGAATTGCTGGCAGTTGACTCACACTTCCTGGATTTAGCAATGGATGGATCAGCCCACCATAGAGGGGGCTGCCACCAGGTGTACTATACATAGGTCCTCCAGGTTGGCCACCTCAGCATTCATCTTCCTCCTTCTACACCTCCCAGGATTAGCAGCTTCTCCCAAGTCATGGCCTTGTATCTCCCATGTCTGGGCCTCATCCTGCTGGGGGCCATGCAGACAAAAGCCCAGGGCTTTTTTCCAACCATGATGAAGACCCCACATCTGAACAAGGTGCCCTTGCAGCCAGACTTCCAGGATGACAAGGTGAGATCTTGGGAAGGGCAGCGGCAGGACGGGTCTGTGGCACAGGGACAGTGCAAGGACAAGAGAGGAGAGGTGAAAGGACTCAGAGGCAGTGTTGGGTGGGAGTAGCAGGACTCAGAAAAACAAGGCCCAGTGCATGCCTGGTGGGGAAATCTTCACTCCTTCTCCGCAGCCAGGAAAGCTGAGGGTCTGGAAGGTGCACATTCCACTGGCTCCGGGCCAAGCCATCATGAAAGTTCAGGGCTACTTAGACACCCAGAGTCCATCCTAACCCTGGTTGGCCCCAGTTCATGTCCAGTTCTCACTGCAGGCCCATCCCTGCACCCAGCTTCCCAGAGGGCTGCCCAGAGGTACCAGAAGGACAGCATGGAAGGGAGCTTCTGGGGACATCTCTGGGTTCTGCCTTTCACGAGCCCCTTGCAGTTCCAGGGGAAGTGGTACGCCTTGGGTGTGGCAGACAGCCCAATTCGGAATGGAAGCAGAAGTCAGTTAACAATGTACAGTGTCAACTACGAGCTGAAAGATGAGCACAGCTTCAACGTGAACACCACGATGCTCAGGTGAGCACTACCTCCTGAGGGTCTGAAAGGCAGGCTGATGTCACAGTTAAGGAGCGACCAAAGTGAGGGGACACTGTCCCTCATCTCATCACTCATTTCCCAATCAACCTGCCTCCCTCCCTCCCATCAACCTCATGGGAACATTACAGCAAAGACACACAGTAGGAACAAGCCAGAGAGTAGGGCGACCCAGGGAGGGAGGAGGGACCTGCATTTACGTAGCATCCCAACTGAGGCTTCCATCTAATGTTTGGAGGGAAATTACTCTAAACAAGGCAACCTCCCAGTAATCCTAGGATGCTCAGGTCCAGAGACTAAGGCTGGAAGACCTAGGATTGGAAGCAACCATGGGCAACTTGGAGAGAGCCATCTGCAAATAAAAAAAATTAAAGGGCAGGTGTCATAGCTAAGTGCAATGGGTTCAGTACACACCATAACCACCACACCAACAAAACAAGAGATATAAGCAAGAGCCGGTGGACTCTGAGTCAGAGAGCGTCACATTAGGAGGCCACAGAGTGTCCAGGGATCAACAGGGACAACTGGATCAGGGGCCCATAAGGAGCTGGCCATTCACAAGCCCCTTGCAGGGCGTCTTACCCAAGTCAGGGCCTCACCTTCAGCTCCTGCAAGGCCTGGAATCTGGGCGCAGATGCAGAAAAGGAGTAGAGAAAAAATGCAAACATGTGGCTGAGCACTTCTGGTCAGGAGATGGCAGAGCTGGGGCAGTGAGAGCTGGGACTGGGAGCCCAGGAACTTCTACTTGCATTGAATTCTGCCTCGAGACTGAGTGGATTGGGGGCCTAGTGTGTGAGGACTGAGGGTCACATCAAGGGAGGACTGAGGGGCTTGTCTGTGGGGTGCAGGGTGGGTGCACTCGTGAAAAGATCAGGATTTGGCTCCAGGGTTGGGCGGTGCGTGGAGTGTCTCGTGAAAAGATCAGGATTTGGCTCCAGGGCTGGGCGGTGAGTGAGCCCTGAAGCTCACAGTGGATCGCCAGAGGTGGGAAAGAGAAGCAGGAAGTAAGACCAGGGCACATTGCCGGGGCTCTGGGGGAAACAGACTTGACCCCCACTCCTCCTGGGGGAAGGCAAAAGAGGGAAGAGTGAGACCCGGAGGGAGGCTCAAGAAGCCCCCAGAACAGACGAGGCAGAGGCTGAGTGGGGAAGACTCAGGGCAGTAGGCTGGGCCACGCGGGTTCCCAGCCACGGCAGCACACAAGCTGGCATGGGCTCGGCTGGACTAGGCTCTCAGAATCCTGCTGCAGCCTTGGCCGCACTTCCACAAGCCCAGGGGGACCAAGCTGTGACAACTCCCTGCTCAGTCCCGCCCGTTTCTCACTCACACAGGAATGAAGTCTGCGAACAGTCTACGAGAACTCTTGTCCAAAATGTGCAGCCCGGCCAGTTCACTTTCGACAGTTTCAGAAGTGAGTCCTGAGGGCGGTGGGACTCAGGTGGCAGAGGCCCCGCGGAAGGACACAGGCCCCCCGGACTCGCCTCCTAGATGCCCTCCTGGGGGAGACACCCAGGTTCACTGGCCAGGGAAGATGGGGACAGTCCCTTCGTCCTAGCCGGGGCAAGAATGACTTCACCATCTACGCTGCAGGGACAGGTGGAATACTGAGCTACGTCATGAGGGTGGCAGCCACCAACTACAAACAGTTCGCCATGGTCTATGTGGAGAAGAACGTAAGATTCAAGTGGCACTTCCAGGCCACCCTCTATGGTGAGTCCTCACTCCACCCTCTAAGGGACCTGGCTGCTGGAAACACATAGGGAGGGGTCCCCTATACCCCAGGACGTTAGATGCTTCCTCCGTTGGAGCCCCGCCCCCAAGGAGGAAGATTTCCCAGAGTCCTTCCATTGGAAAGGGGGCCGAGGGCTCACTCCCTCATCAGAAGTATTTACAGAGGAAGCCAGTCACGGCAGTGCTTGCCGCTCAACTCAGCACTCAGCAGGAGAGGCAGGATTATGGGGTTAGGGTCAGCCTGACCTGTATCATAAAAGTTAAAAGATTAGAAAGCGTCTTTCTCTAGGCCACTCACCACCCATCTTGACCACAGGGAGAACCAAGAAGCTGAGCCACAAACTGAAGGAGCGCTTCGTGAAATTTTCCAAGTCTGTGGACTTCACTGAGGACAACATCGCCTTCTTTGTTCCCATCGGTAATGACCAGCTGGGGAGAGCAGGAGTCGTGTGATCCCCAGGCCTGAGGATGCCCCATGAGGGACAGCGCACAGGAGAGTCCATCCCCGGCTCCAGTCCCTGGAGGGGTGGTAATGACCAGTCAGGGGTCTGTCGTTCTCCAGAGATTCTGGCCTTAAGCGGTTCCCTGACAGTTTAGCCAAAGACTGTCCAGAGGACGATTTCAGGCCCAGGCTTACATTTCCCCAGTCTTACTGCCCTGGGCTGCCTCCGCCTGATTCCTTGGTTCTCGGTTTCCTGGACCAGCTCCTCTCCATGCACTGGGCCTTCTGTGCAGGGCCACCTCCTGTCCATACATCCTGTCTTGCTATCCTGCCTACTTCCCCTTTCCTCTAGGTCTTCCTCATTTCGAACAAGGAATTTCTCCTTCATTTCTGGCTGGGGAAGACATTCCAGCCAGGCCACTCAGGGGCAGTGGCTGAGTGGCTGCGCGACTGTGTAGTTAAACAGGTCGGACACCTTCGTTCCAAGCTTCTGTGAGGCCCAGCTACGCTGGGCATCCCATCCCCAGGCCCTGAAGTCAAGGAAGCCCTAGATCCATGCCCCCTGGCCTTGGCTGGACATCAGGCAGCCAGGGGGCAGTTATGGGTCCTGGCAGCCACAGATCCTACACAACACACACACACACACACACACACACGCACACTGACCGGTCCGATGTTCTTTCTCCCTACAGAAGAATGCATTGATGACTGAATGGGCAGTGAGTATGGCTTGACAGGGAGCTAACGGGAGGCCGGGGAAGGGTGGGCTATTTGTCTTGGGGCTGCCTTTATTCCTGCCTGCCCTAATCCTGAATCTCTTGTCCTTCTCAGGTGCCTCCTGTGTCTCCTCCTGTTCTTCCTGTCATCATTGCCCAAGGTACTCTCTGGCTGCTCGTCAATAACCATGACTGGGCAAGATCTGGAAGATGCTTCTGAAGGTGCAGTGATGCTCGGCCATCATCCCACAAGCCACCCCTTCGATGGATCCCCTTTTCTGCTAAATAAAAACATGCAACCAGGTCTCCAAGTCTGCACTCCTTGACCCCTAGCCCAGGGCCTTGTGTCCCCAGAACCTACCCTGAAGTTAGTTGGGCAGGAGGTAGGGAAGAGAAATATCTGGGAGACAAAGACCTAAAGGCCAGTTAGGGAAGCGTGTCAAAAACCGCAAAGATTGCCCAACTCCTAACTCTAGACCTTAGCTGGGAAAGACAAGTGGTTTAATGTGCTCTAGGCTTCTGGAGGGCCCATGAGAAGCTCTCTGTGAACCACCAAGAGCACACACCTGTAATCATGAGGCCATGACTGAGGAGACATGGGCTGTGGAATACCCTGACAAGTGAAAGTGACCCAACTCAACTATACTGAACTATGGTCACATTTTCATTCATTTATGGATGTCACTCCACTGCGGGACTTGAACGCCTTTGTCACCAAAAGCCAGGTCTTGATGGAGCAAACTCCCACCCCTCATTTCCTTGATCCTCAGTTCTTCAGGCCTTTTGCAAAAAATTCATCTCACACATAGACCACGAAGAATTGAGGGTAGAATGTTCTGTAAGTCTGTTGTGTGACCCACAGAGCTTCCAGGATGACAGAACCTGAGGGCTGGTAGACAAAGGCCCGCTAGCAGCCCAAGGGGAAAGACACTGCAACCTGTATCCCTGCCCCTTGGGATTCACTTTGTGCTGCTTCAGTTTCTTACCTTGGCGCAAGCAAGGCAGCTTCACATCATACCTTGTTCCTGCTAAGCCTTTTAGGCCAACAACTCAGGGCACAAACTGGTCTCTGGGTTTCCTTCCTGCATGGCTGGATGCCTGACATGTAAGGAGTGGCCACAAACCCCCAGCTTCACACAGCATGCGTGAACTGTCTTCCCACTCTGGAAGCTGACATTTGAGTCACATCACTGGACTAAGAGGGTATGTGCAGCACTGTGCCCCTTGGGTGCCGGGGGAAGCGTCCACTCCTCTGTCTTTTCCAGCTTTTTGAGCAGGCTTCTGTGCATTCCTCATCGAACCCCCTCCTTTTTGTTCAATTTCAGCTCTTGATTCTTGGTGCAACCGGTGTTCTATTCAGAGCGTCCTTGCCTGTGCCTGTGGATTCAAGAGTTTTACTATTTTATCTTGCAACAGAGGAAATGTTTCTATTTGAACGGTAAGTCTTTAATCTATTTTGTGTTTCGTTTAGTTCATAGTGAGATATTGGTCTAGAGTCCGTCTTCAGCATATGGGTAGACAGTTTGATCAACACCATTTATTAAAGGGGTTATCTTTCCTCCGGTGTATGTTTTTGGCCCCTTTGTCAAAGATGAAGTAGTTGAATATATTTAGGGTTTCCTCTAGATCCTGCACTCTGTTTCACTGATCCACATGTCTATTTTAGTGGCAATGCCGTGCTTTTTTCCCATTAAGTTTATTGGTACATTTTAGTTATACAGCATAGTTACATTCGTCATTGGGATCTTGTACCTTTATATGATGTTTCTTGATTCTTATCTCTTCCCTATTCCCTGGCCTCCCTTCAACCCCTCCACCCTGCCCTGTTTATAAAGACTTTGTTTCATATTTTCCTTTTTTTGTATTTTTTCTTTATTTCTTTTCTCCTACCCTTCCCACTTCCCCTATGCCTTGCTAACGGGAGGCCGGGGAAGGGTGGGCTATTTGTCTTGGGGCTGCCTTTATTCCTGCCTGCCCTAATCCTGAATCTCTTGTCCTTCTCAGGTGCCTCCTGTGTCTCCTCCTGTTCTTCCTGTCATCATTGCCCAAGGTGCTCTCTGGCTGCTCGTCAATAACCATGACTGGGCAAGATCTGGAAGATGCTTCTGAAGGTGCAGTGATGCTCAGCCATCATCCCACAAGCCACCCCTTCGATGGATCCCCTTTTCTGCTAAATAAAAACATGCAACCAGGTCTCCAAGTCTGCACTCCTTGACCCCTAGCCCAGGGCCTTGTGTCCCCAGAACCTACCCTGAAGTTAGTTGGGCAGGAGGTAGGGAAGAGAAATATCTGGGAGACAAAGACCTAAAGGCCAGTTAGGAAAGCGTCCCAGAACCTACCCTGAAGTTAGTTGGGCAGGAGGTAGGGAAGAGAAATATCTGGGAGACAAAGGCCTAAAGGCCAGTTAGGAAATAAGGAAGCATGTCAAAAACCGCAAAGATTGCCCAACTCCTAACTCTAGACCTTAGCTGGGAAAGACAAGTGGTTTAATGTGCTCTAGGCTTCTGGAGGGCCCATGAGAAGCTCTCTGTGAACCACCAAGAGCACACACCTGTAATCATGAGGCCATGACTGAGGAGACATGGGCTGTGGAATACCCTGACAAGTGAAAGTGACCCAACTCAACTATACTGAACTATGGTCACATTTTCATTCATTTATGGATGTCACTCCACTGCGGGACTTGAACGCCTTTGTCACCAAAAGCCAGGTCTTGATGGAGCAAACTCCCACCCCTCATTTCCTTGATCCTCAGTTCTTCAGGCCTTTTGCAAAAAATTCATCTCACACATAGACCACGAAGAATTGAGGGTAGAATGTTCTGTAAGTCTGTTGTGTGACCCACAGAGCTTCCAGGATGACAGAACCTGAGGGCTGGTAGACAAAGGCCCGCTAGCAGCCCAAGGGGAAAGACACTGCAACCTGTATCCCTGCCCCTTGGGATTCACTTTGTGCTGCTTCAGTTTCTTACCTTGGCGCAAGCAAGGCAGCTTCACATCATACCTTGTTCCTGCTAAGCCTTTTAGGCCAACAACTCAGGGCACAAACTGGTCTCTGGGTTTCCTTCCTGCATGGCTGGATGCCTGACATGTAAGGAGTGGCCACAAACCCCCAGCTTCACACAGCATGCGTGAACTGTCTTCCCACTCTGGAAGCTGACATTTGAGTCACATCACTGGACTAAGAGGGTATGTGCAGCACTGTGCCCCTTGGGTGCCGGGGGAAGCGTCCACTCCTCTGTCTTTTCCAGCTTTTTGAGCAGGCTTCTGTGCATTCCTCATCGAACCCCCTCCTTTTTCTTCAATTTCAGCTCTTGATTCTTGGTGCAACCGGTGTTCTATTCAGAGCGTCCTTGCCTGTGCCTGTGGATTCAAGAGTTTTACTATTTTATCTTGCAACAGAGGAAATGTTTCTATTTGAACGGTAAGTCTTTAATCTATTTTGTGTTTCGTTTAGTTCATAGTGAGATATTGGTCTAGAGTCCGTCTTCAGCATATGGGTAGACAGTTTGATCAACACCATTTATTAAAGGGGTTATCTTTCCTCCGGTGTATGTTTTTGGCCCCTTTGTCAAAGATGAAGTAGTTGAATATATTTAGGGTTTCCTCTAGATCCTGCACTCTGTTTCACTGATCCACATGTCTATTTTAGTGGCAATGCCGTGCTTTTTTCCCATTAAGTTTATTGGTACATTTTAGTTATACAGCATAGTTACATTCGTCATTGGGATCTTGTACCTTTATATGATGTTTCTTGATTCTTATCTCTTCCCTATTCCCTGGCCTCCCTTCAACCCCTCCACCCTGCCCTGTTTATAAAGACTTTGTTTCATATTTTCCTTTTTTTGTATTTTTTCTTTATTTCTTTTCTCCTACCCTTCCCACTTCCCCTATGCCTTTAGATCATTTCTTCCTATTTTCATTTTCAATTATGCATTTGGATCCTTATTTACCCTTTTAGATTATTCACACCGGAGAAACTATTCAGTATTTACACACATGTGTCCTATGTATTTCAACTAAGAGTATGGCATCAATGTGCATCCATTTAGCTATAAATGACTCTAGTTTGTCATTCTTTTTTTTTCTCATTGAGATCAGGGCAGAAAATAATGGAATAGAGACTAAGAGAACAATACAAAAAATTAAATGAGCTGAACAAAATTGGCAAACCATTAGCCAACTTTATCAAAAAAAGACCAAAATCCAAGCAATTAAAAATGAAAAGAGTGAAATAACAACAGACCCAGAGGAAATCCAGAGGATCATCAATACCTACTTTGAGAAACAATTTGCCAATAAAGTGGAAAACACAGAAGAAATGGACAGATTCCTAGATATATACGAGTTATCAAAGTTGAAAAAAGACCTAAAAATGGCAAACAACCCAATATATGAATTGATTAAATTGAAAACATAATTAAAAACTTAGCCACTAAGAAAAGCCCAGGTCCTCATGGCTTCACTGCTGAATTCTACAACACATTTAGAGAAGAACTATTCCATCTGCTGTCTAAACTCTTTAAGGAAATTGAAGGAGAAGCAATACTTCCAAATTCATTCCTGGAGGCAAGCATTCCAAAAGCAGAGAAAGACCTAACCAAAGGAGAGAACTATAGGTCAATCTCTGCAGTGAATACAGATGCAAACATCTTCAGTAAGATACTCAGAAATAGAATGCAGGAGATCATTATGAAGATCATACACCCTCACCAAGGGAGAGTCATCCAAGGGATGTAGGGATGGTTCAACATTTGCAAATCAATAAATGCAATACACTATATTAATAAAGCCAAGGACAAAACCATATGATCATCTCAATGAATGGAAAAAGACATTTGACAAAATCCAACATGCCTTCTGATAAAAACCCTACAGAAAATTGAAATAGACCATCTCCACCTCAATCTGATAAAAGCCATCCAGAAAAAACCAACTGCCAATATTACGTAAAATGGTCAAAAACTGAAATCCTTCACACATAAATCAGGAACCAGACAAAAACATGCACTATCACCAATCCTGTTCAATACATTTTGGAAACATAAGCACAGCAATTAGACAAGAGAAACAAATAAAAGGAATAAAGATAGGAAATGAAGTAGTCTAATTGCCATTATTTGCAGATGACATGATACTCTATAGAGAAGACCCCCAAAACTCCACT